TTTATAAAAAAAAAAAAAAATTATGAACCGTTCATCTATTGTAGCGCCCCAACTTCCAGGCCGTTAAATAAGTACAATATTACCACACAAATAGGATAGATAACCAAAACATCTTAACATACATCTATAACCAGAGTTAGTATCACGGATCATTCGTTTATTTTCCACTACAGGATTACAAAACATTGAAAACAAAAACAACTAGTCTAAGTCTTCAAATGAACCACCGCTCCAACACTTCATCGTATTTGCCTTCGCAATAACTTTCACCATTATAACTGCTTCACCACCTGGCATGACACGCCATGAGCTTGGAATGCCTAGTAAAAACGCACACATGCCCATATCTTCTATCAACCAATCAACCACACATAGGACAAATTGGGTAACATAACATGCAAAATTACAACAAGGTTCTATGAATTAGGAGTTTGCCTAGACATCTAGGATCCCCTAAAGAGATCCTTCTACCCAACCACAAGGTTGAACACTGGATTACTTAGACTCCCCCTTTTGCTGCTTTGCAGACCTTACCACCTATGCCCATCTCCTGGTTATTTATCGGTTAGTGACATTGATGGACCTCAAAAGGGACGGCCAAACAAGTGGGCTCGCTTACACCCAAATTGTGCCTAGGGCTCGCTTACACACTGCACATACCATACCAAATCGTGCCTAGGGCTCGCTTACACCCTGCACATATCATACCAAAGGGCTCGTTTACGCCCTGAAACCACCGCATAGAGTCTGAATACACCCATGTCAACCTAAGGGCTCGTTTAGACCGCTTGCTCAAGACTTAACTCATTTGGTTTTAATTCTGTTCACATGTTCAATACATAAATCATTCTGAAGCACAAGGGTGAACGTCACCCACTACCAACCCCTTTCCATTTCCCATTTATTAGATCTTTTGCCAAGCAAGCTAGTCACATTCGGTAATTCGGTAATATAAAAGAGCATGAGACAAACATAAGAAATGAAATGTAGCCCATGATAATCATACATAGGTATGGTAAGGCAAGAAAATAACATTAGGCATGCTTTAAAATACTTAGAGGCAAACAACACAACAAAACACCATTCCCAGCATTGTTCGGTTCTGCAGGGCTAACAAGAACGCTTTGGTAAAAATACTTATAGGTCAAATTAGGGGCTGAAATTGCGCAGAAACAATATTCAATCTGTCTAGTTTCAGTTCCAATTTTCAGAAGTTGCACAGAACCTCCACAATTTCATCTACAAACTATATTCAAAAACCTGTCCAGATTTGTCACCCTTTGGGGAAACTAACTTTTCTCTCAATCTATCTGATGGTTTTCACTCAAATAAAATCTTTTGGAAAGAGGACTCAGATTTCTAAATTTTGATAGAAGAACCAACATGAGGTGATTTTTCTAGAATTTTATAAAATTGCTAAAAGTGGACTGTTTTTAAGAGATTCAGGACCAGATTTTTCAACAATTTATCCACGCCCCTAAAACAAACAATTAGGAGCTAATAAAATTTTCACAAGCTCTAAACGTACCAAATATCCTACCATAAATTCAGATTTGAGAATTAAATAGATTTGATATTTATTTTAAATTATGGAAGTTGCAGCAGTGCCTAATTTCACAAATTTGTAAGATAATGGCAATTGATCATACCCACACTTCAATATACACCAAAAACCCTATTTACCATTAATTTGCAACAGAAGAGGCATATTAGACAATAGAAGGAGATGGTGAAAGAATTGGAGAAGACAAAGGAGGGGTATGTTCTTACCTTTTTGAGAGTCACCCTTTTTTTTTCTTCTCCTCTACTTCCTTTGATCACACTTTCACCCTCTCACCCTCTCCCTAGGCTGTTGAAAATGTGGGGTGAAAATTGAGACAAAGTTCTCTATTTATAAGCCATGAAATAGGGCTAGCTTAATGACTAAGAAAAAACATAAAAATTTAGATATTTTTCCATTGCTCAAATAAGTATTAAAATAAATAATAAAACTATTTATTTAAAGATATGTGTAGATATTTATTTAAAGATATTTATTTTCTCAATTAAATAATAAAGGTTCAAAGAAAATAATAAAAATTCAAAGAACTAATAAATATTCAATTAGGCTAAAAATAAAATTGATGAATTAATTTAGAAACTAGGAGGTACATAAATAAAAGCCAAGTGTTAGGGTATTTCCAAATATAAAAATGGCATTCTATGATTTAATTATAATACAAAATAACATACAGAAAAATTATTCTTTCTTGGACCATTTTGTAAAATTTTATAAAATTTTGGGATTAAAATGTAATTAACCTAAGGCTTAGGGTATCAAGTGTAATTACCAAAAATTAGGGTCTCTACATCTATCCTAGATATTTTTGCCCAAACAAACCAAACCAAACCCACCCCAATCTAGTAGATAGATAGTGAATGAGATTGATGATCTATTTTAGGATTTTAAAATATATGTTTGTGTTAGATTATGATTTGATTTAGGATTTTGAATGATTTGTTTGTGGTGCTAGGAATTGATTTTGTTGTATTTTTAGTTTTATAAGGGGTTGTTTGGGATGACCTAAATAAGTGTATTTTTTGTCTTTTTACGAAAAGATGGGCAGAAAAGTAGAGATGTGATGTCATGAAAAAAAGATAAAAAGATAGATTATTTTTGGATTGCCAAACTTGACCTAAGTTTGAGTTCATTAATTATTAATGTTGGAGCATTTTAGAAGATGGAGGGAAAATGGTCCAAAATAAATATTTACAAAATGGAAAAAGAAGACTAAAAAATAAATTTTTAAAGAAAAAAATCCAATTCGCAAACCGCTCGCACATTCGCGAATCCAATCTGCACAAATCGCAAATCGCACTGCGGGCGGATGCGGGTTGACTTTTTTCCAAACTGCATACATGCGGGCGGGTCCAAACTAATCCGCAAACTGTCCAAAATCAAACCACGATCACTCCTAATTCTCAGTAAGTAATTTGTTGCATCATATTATTATTATAGTAATAATTATTACTATTGTTATTTCACTGAAAACTGCATTCAATTTATTGAGTCCAACAAATTACCACAAATATTAATAAAGCCATCAAAGACCCCAAACAGATTTAAGCGAGAATACGTAGGTTGGAGAATCAATCCTTTCGAGTGTGAGAAAGGAGTTTATTCAATTCAAACTTTAGGTTATTTGTTTTCATTGGTTAAATGAATCAACAACAGTAACTTTGGCTCATTATTTGCTTGTCTCATAATGGGCTGATTGATTTTAGGTACAGGGTTGCACCATACATTGACCAGCTGTGCATTTCCCTTGCACAAACAAGCGTAGTAAATTTTTTTCTTTTATTTTTTAATATTACTAATATAGAAAGCACGTGCGTTGCACATGAGAAATGACATTGTATATGTGTCCGTTTGATTAAAAATAAATAAATGATTAAAAAAAAAAATGATAGTAAGTGAAAATAGTAAAAAGTGAAATAAAATAAAATATATTTCATGTATGAATTTGATTAGGATGAAAGGTTTGTAAAAAAAAAAATAAAAATAAAAATTCTAATTATAAACTACTTTTATAATAAATGTAAACATTTGTGTATAGAAAATGTTTAACACTCTCCAAAAGCTTCTACAATTTTACCTACAATGATATGATATGATAATAAGTGTTTATTTTTAATTTATTATACCCACAATGGTGTTAGGGTCTAACTCTCTTGTCACATTATTGTGAGTGAATTTGAAGATTTAAAATTGTAAGTTTTTAGCACTTATGTTCTTATTTTGCTGTGTTTTTTTGCAATGAAATAAGATTTTAGTTACCATGCTATCGTGAGTTGTACAAGTAAATTAAATTTCTTATAACTTTCACTATTCATGCTCAACAAACTTGAAATTTATTATTATTATTATTATTATTATTATTATTATTATTATTATTTCATACTTTTTATTATTTTCATCCTAACCCAACTTAGCCTAACACGAAAAAAAAATGTTTGAAATGAAAAGTAAAAAAACAAAAAATCAAATTTATAGGGGATGTGAACAAAATTATTCATGTAAAATAACAATAAATTGTAATTTTTAGATTAACATATAAATTGATTGCGTCAATCCTATCTATTTTCTGCTTATTGTCATTTTATGAAAAATGAAGTATGCATGTGCTATATGTTGCCCTCTCATCTTAACCATTATATCGAGGCAACTGCTTATTTAAATCTTAGTTGCACGAAGCGGGAGCAGGAGTGGAGAAGCGTGGCCATGTAAAGGAGTCGTAGTTTGGAAGCGCTTATATATTATTTTTATCGAAATATTTTTAATGCAGGTACTTGGTGCGGGTGTGTATCTGGAGGTCGGACACTTTAAAATTAAAAATTGAGGATATGTGGATATGGATCCAAATTTGGATACGAGTACATGGATATATTAAATAATTATTTTTTTAAGAGTTAAATAGTTATTTTTTAAATATATTTATTATTTATTATCTTATGTATTATTTTTATTGATAATATTTTTAATTTATCTATATAATATTTTTATTTTTAATTGACATATATATTATAAATAAATATGATTTATAAATAGTTATTTTTATTGATATATGACATATATATATATATATATATTATAATTGATATATATATTAATTAAATATCTTTTGAGAGAGAGAAAGAGAGAACAGAAATATATCTGTTTATTTATTTATTTATTTTTTATATAATATAATATGTATGTTTTTTAATAAACTGTGATTGTCCATTATTTTTTGAATCTGTAAGCTATAGCCCAATGGAGCCCATTAAACATTTTAACTAGAGCCCATGACCATATGCTAGGTCAAAATAAAATATATATATAAAAAAAAGAAAAGAAAGATACATAGAGCAAGTGGGGCAGCTATGCTGTGTCGTCTTCTGTCTTCAAATACTGGCTGATTTGTTCCTTCGACTTCTCTGTCGGTCTGTTTCGCTTCATCTTTTTTTCCGAAAGGTATGCCGTCGTCGTCGTCGTTCTTCTTCTAGCCCACATCTGATTTTGAAAAAAATCATCTTTTTATTTTTTTTTTCCTTCGATCAGATCCATATCTTTAGATCTATGCCCAAATCTGCTTCGGATTTTTTTTTTGTTGCTTCGGCAGTTGTTTGATTTTCATCATTGATCCCTTCTTGGATAGAATCGCGTTTCTTACACGATTTTGATTTGGGAACGCAAAATCGCGTTTCTTCCGGAAAATCGTTACCTACTGTAACGATTCCTGCTACTAAGATTTAAATTACTTGTAAGCGGAGGTGAGACATATATTATTTTATTTTTTTAAAAAAGGCGAAAATCGTAGGGGATGCAAGTTTTTTTTTTTTTTTTTTAATAATGTTTTTCTATGTAAAAAACACTTGCACCTTCACACAGATTACTATTTTTGGCCATATACATTGAACTATAGTTGTCCTATTTTATAGACTAATATATATTACATAAGTTTTTAGTTTTATTTGCTTATTTTTGTGAAGAGAATGACCTTTCTAACTTAGATCTAACGGACATGTATATGGAAAGGGAACAATTTTAAAGCTGAAGAGATTATTCACCAAATAGTTGGTTTGAATGGAAAAATTAAGGGGAGGAAAAATTATTCAATCACAAAAAATTGTAACAGAACAAAGTGTACATTGTAACAGAACAATTTTAAGAAAACACCTATTAAGAGAAGAAAAATTGTTCAATCATAAAAATTGCTATCTATTTCAGTAGACAAGATTGGTGAAAACTATCTAAAGCTGAAGAGATTATTCACCAAATAGTTGGGTTGAATGGAAAAATTACTATTTGAATTCAGAGAAAGCCCAATTGGGATGGATTTTCTTAAATTTAGAATATTATTTTTATAGCAAAATAGTGTGAAACACTAAAGGGAATCTGTACATTTATACACACCAGAGATTTTCTTCTTGAGTGATTTTTTCTGTTGGTTTGATTTGATCAAGAGAGGAAGTGCTAGTTCCCAAAGACTGTTGTTGATAGTACCAGAGGCTAAACAAGGGAACTGAATCAATTTTTTTATCATGGTGTTGTAAGAAAAGGGCCCAACGAAATGAAATTATAAAGCTTGTGTATATCATTAAACTAATTCAATGTTGTTTAAGAGGAATTTTCTCAAACAACTTAGGCACACATTTTGGCCTTTTGGAGAGTAAAATCTTTGGTGACAGGTATATGCATAAACCTGTTCAAAAAAGAAAAAAAAAAGAAGGTATATCCATAAACAAGAAAACTCACAAATAAACAGGAATCATGTTTTCAAATGAGGGAATATTTACAAGACATCAAAATAAAGAACTTTTCAAAGTGAAAAGTAGTAAGTTTGGAAAATGTTTAAATGATTTAGTGGTCATCTGTGAAAAGTGAATTCTACCGCACCGTCAAGGAAGGAGATATTTATATGGCAGACAATTAGGTGTCGTTTGGTAACACTTACGTTTTCAGTTTTCTGTTTATATTTACAAAAATTTTAAAAACTCAAATAAAAACTTGTTTGGTAAAATTTCTGATTTATAAATAAGTGGACTCAGTTTATAAATTTGGCCAAAAAATGAAAACACAAAAAATGTGTTTCCGTTTTAAGTTTTGAATTTTTTTTTTTTTACTACCCAACACTAGCCACCACCCACCACCATTTTCCACCACCGTCTTCATTTTTTTTTTTTAAATTTCTTTTCATTTTCTTTTATCTTCTTTTACTCTTCCTCATTTTTACCATAAATGGAGCCTAACTTTTCCATCACATCTCTTCACCTTTTGCTTCTCTTCCAATTTCATATCTCTCTATCCGTTTCATTTCTCTCTCTCTCTCTCTCTCTACCTCTCATTCTCAAAACTCTCTTTCTCCTTCTTTATCTATGTTTTTCCTTCCTCCCCCGACCTCCATAGCCACGACCTTAACCCACACTATCACCAACTCGCGACTTTCTCTACCACCCCCCCTGCCCCCCCCCGCCCCCGCCACCGCCATCACCACCACCCACTCGCTACCACCCCCCCCCCGCCACCGTCACCCACCCACCCGCCACCACCCACCGTTACCACTTTCCACCACCGTCTTCCACTGCCACTTGCCACCAATTGTCATTTCTCACTCTTTTTTATATTTTTAAATTTTTTTAAACATTTTGTCAATTACCAAACGCGTTTGTAGTTTATATTTTTCTAAAAATAAACAAAAAATAAACCAAAACCAGCTTATAAAATTTTTGTAAATATAAACTGAAAACGTAAACGTTACCAAACACACCCTTAAATTTCTTAGAGGGCTTTCTGTTTTTTTTGTCTCCTTTGTTCCTTCCTTTACTCTCGTTTGGACAATCATAACCAAAGTTTTGCAAAGTGATCTGCAACAAAGCATATTGTTACAACAGAAACGGAAAAAAAAAGAAGCTTTTGCTCTCTTGCAATTCCATTCTTTTCTAATACTCTTCCTTCGTTTGCTAATCTCTACAAGACCCAAAAGAATGAACTGTAATTCCTAATTTGTGAATTGCCCCAGCCCCTCATCGCAATCGCCATCGTCCCTTCCCAACCAACATCCCTTTCCTCCTCTCTTCCAATCGCAATGCCAACCCCTTTCTCAGCCACTGCCATCCATTCATCCTCTTTACCCATCATAATGCCACCGCTCTTTCTTCTTCTTCAATTTGTATATAAACACATGGTATATATAATATATACACACACTACAACAAACAATGTGAACATTGGGTTTAATCTCAAGCTCTATATTGATTGTTTACTGGATGTCTGTAAAATCCATTCTTCACGGTTCATCCGTGTATAATCTATTATCTTCACCATATATTCCTCAATTTGATGCACTAACAAAAGCAACAGAATTATGTGAATTCTTCCTGTGGACTATGAAAGAATAGATTTGTGGTGTTCATTGCCCTAAAGAATGAGACGAACCATGAATCATTGGACTCTTGATACTACTGCTTGTTTTCATGCAATCATATGGGATAAGATTGTGCCAATTTGATTGTTGAAATATTGTTTTGAGTTAGAAAGAGAGCATGCCACATTTGGAACATCAATTTTACTTGTAAATAGATAAATAATATAGGCATTTTCATGAATCAATATATATGGTTATTTTGAACATTTGTATCCCTTAGTTACCAATTGTATCTTCTATACATTGAGAGTGTTGGAACTACATTCCAACAGACGTGTCTCTTTGGTTTGCAATGTACATTTAAGGGAGGGTTATTTTCAGAATAAAAAAGTGTAGAAAACATTGTCAAAACCTTCCCTTTTACAGTGGTGGAGATAGAGATAGAGATTGAGATTGGAACTGCATTCCAACAGACGTGTCTCTTCGAGTAGCAATGTACACAAGTAATATAGCATTAAGGGAGGGTTATTTTTGGAAATAAAAGTGTAGAAAACACTGCAAAACCTTCACTCTTTCATAGATTTTTTTTTTTTAGTGTGTGTGGTTACAACTAGGCCAAAGCCAATAACCTACACAGAATGGAGCGAGCGCTTTCCTTACTTATTAGCAGCTAAAGCTGTCCACAGATTTGGTGGCATATCAGAAAGAACCACATTCCCATTAGATAATTGAAGAGTTTCTTTAGCTAGGAAATCCACACACATATTAAGAAATATATTCCTTCTTCCTCATATTTTCGGAGTTCTTCTTTCTCATATTTTCTAAGTCAATATATATGGTTATTTTGAACATTTGTATCCCTTAGTTACCAATAGTATCTTCTATACATTGAGAGTGTTGGAACTACATTCCAACAGATGTGTCTTTTCGGGTTGCAATGTACATTTAAGGGAGGGTTATTTTCGGAATAAAAAAGTGTAGAAAACATTGTCAAAACCTTCCCTTTTACAGCGGTAGAGATAGAGATAGAGATAGAGATTGAGATTGGAACTGCATTCCAACAGACGTGTCTCTTAGAGTTGCAACGTACACAAGTAATATAGCATTAAGGGAGGGTTATTTTTGGAAATAAAAAGTGTAGAAAACACTGCAAAACCTTCACTCTTTCATAGATTTTTTGTTTTTTTGTTTTTTTAGTGTGTGGTTACAACTAGGCCAAAGCCAACAACCTACACAGAATGGAGCGAGTGCTTTCCTTACTTATTAGCAGCTAAAGCTGTCCACAGATTTGGTGGCATATCAGAAAGAACCACATTCCCATTAGATAATTGAAGAGTTTCTTTAGCTAGGAAATCCACACACATATTAGCCTCGCCCGACTGAAAGGAAGATACATTGCCAGTATTGAGACATCAACTCTCGAATTTCATGAAGGAGATTAAAGTTAGGATCAAGCACACTTGGGTTGTTAATACCTTGGATAGCTTCAATAGAATCTGATTCAATAAGAACTGGACGAAATCCTTGAATCCATGCTAGCTGTAACCCATTCCAAATAGCCCACAGCTCCGCAAGAACCACAGAAGCTCCACCCACATGATATTTGAAGCCCATAATCCTATCACCCTGGTTTGATCGAATGAGACCCCCTACTCCCGCTCGACCGCTCCGTTGTGCAATAGCTCCATCGACATTGATCTTAACCCAACCTTCCAGAGGACTAATCCATTGAGATGAACCCTTGGGAGTGCAGCTCCCCTTGGCTAGACTTATTTTAGCAGCCTCAAATTCCTTAACCCTGCCCTTAAGATAAGCAACCGGACAATAAGGTTGTTTAAAGGTAGGATTATGTAATTGTTTATTATGCCAGAACCACAAAGAGGAGATAAAGGCCAAAAATAACAGAATCCAGCTTTGTACATCAGGGCCTACCATGGGCAATTCCCTAAATTTGTATCCATCCAACTCACCAAAGGTAGAGAAAAGAGTCGTAACCACTGAGGGGGAGGAATAAGCTCATGCCATACCTTCTTCGGCCCTTGAAAATCCTGAAGTGCATCGAGGGTTGTTTCACTGTAATGACCACTCAAAGAACTAGTAGAATTTAGGCTGAGTTGTCTTCTCATCTTCATAGCATTGGTTAGGAGCCCATCATGTCTGGCCAACCAACCACGCAAAATGCTTCCATCTTTGGGGATTAGAATGATGCCAAAACTTTGTCCAGCCTGAATCAACCCCAGCTGAGTTGGACTCTAGATGAAGGCAATCAAAGGTGGACTTAGTTGAAAATTTTCCTTTTGAAGAGTACTTGCAAATGGTTTGGTCATGGTTATTATCATCATCAGTCTTGAGCACCACTGCTCGCGAAGTATCAATTATGTTGTGTGGCAACCACAATGAAAGCTTGGTCCAGTCCCAACCATGCCCAATAATCCAATACTCACAAACCCGCTTGCCTATTATTTGGTATATTGGAGGGTAATCTGACTTTAAAGAGACGTACATGTGTTCTAGCCATTGGACTCACCTAAGTGGTTAATGCTGATTTTGTTATGTGTTATAAATTGTAATTTATTCATCATGAAATTCAGTGAAATTGCATTATGCTAATAAGTACATTCATGGTTTCTTCATTTTGCGCTTTGAGTTTCAAACTTATTTTGTTCTTCAAAATGTGGCTAAAAGCTGAGTTTTGTTTTTATTTTTATTTTTTTATAGAAGTACAATAGAACTCCCTCAAAATCTTTCTTCTCCTTTTTCTTTCTAATTATTTACTTTCTCTTTTAATATCAGGATTCTTGTTCTTTCTTTTCATTGTGATACGAGGAAGAAGTGCAACATGAGGAGCTATACTGTGATATTCTCATACTATTATTCTATTTTTTATGCATTGGTTTGTTAAATTGTTTAATTATGATTTTTTATTAGAAATTCTCTTTATCTATAGGCATCTTTTGGTGCTTCTATTTGGACCGAAACTTCAATAGCTAGTAGCCAAGAGATGTACTTCAACCAAAACAAGGAAGGTGGCATGTTTCGTCTTGTGCAATTCCAGTCTTCTGACGAGGCCAAGCAACTTTATGGTGCTCTAATGCGTTGTCGACATCCGAACTTGGCGCATGTTTTACAATTTACGGTGAGACCTTATGTTTTATAAAGTAATCTAATATTATCTTGAGTGTTTTTTGTACCTGCATGTTTTTGGATTGTGCATTTTTTTACTAAATAATTAAAAAATATATAGAAAAAATTTAAGAAATATTGCTAATTGGTTTAGTTGAATCTTCAATTTTCATACAATAAAATTTTGACAAGTTAGTATATTATATAACATTTAACACTTTAGATTTAGGTAAATTTTCCAAATTATGATGCATGAGATTAAAGCTTGGGTGGAGACGAGATGCTAATATTGACCCGAGTCCATCCTCTATTGACGTTGGGCTTATATTCTTCATCCTAAGACCGGCCCTATAATGTTTTTGTTGGGCCTGAGCTTGGCCTGACATCTTACTATGAAATACAAATCAATAACTTAAATTGAAAAGAAAAAATAAATCACTACAACTACCACATGCCTTGATGGTTTAAGTTTTTATTCATATTTCATTGAGGGTAAGTGTTTTCAATATACTAACAAAATTAATATGAACGTAGTATTTATATAAACTTTGGCTAGGGGCCTTTAAGCAGTAATTGCAAGCCTTGTCCAAAAAGTGTTTGTGCCTTAGCCAGTATAGATCCTTTGAGCCTAAACACTAATTCGAAACACTAGAATAATTGGGTCGGGCTATTAAGCTGATGTCCACCCTGCTTTAAAACTGTAAAAAGTGCAAGTTGAATAAAAGTCTAATAGTCTCTTTCACACACACATCCATTTCCTTTTCCAGTTGCTTCTTTTCGATTTCATGTCTGCGTAATTGTAGGAAATATATGTCACTGTTGGAAATTGCTTTTTTTTTTTCTCCTTTCTTTCTCCAGTTGCATTTGTAGTTTTCTTTCAATGTTCTCATTATATATTCTTTCTCTTCTACCTATAATTTTTCCCTTGGCTAATGTTATCAATTTTTATTTTTGGTTACTTTTTGGAGTATTTTTACTTCGTTCCCGCTTTAGGTCTCCTTTGGTAATTCTCCATCCAAAGGAATAGATGGACCACGATTTATCATATATGCTAGTGTTAATTCCTTCTCAGAATGGTTTTGACAATCTAGTGCGTACAGTCGTACTTTTTGCACCGTCATTTAAAGTTCATGCATTCTATAAAACACCCCCAAAGAACCAAAAAAACGTCACATTGGTTCAGCTAGACCACTTTAGGCTTAAAACCAAAAAATGACAGAAACAACCTTCACTAGACGTCCATATATATTACTCAATATACATACTTACCTGGTTTGTGTCATGGTTTAAACTAAGTCGTACAAAGATTCAAAAATTAAAGGTAAAAATAATGAACATTATGAAATAAAGTGGTAAATGAGAATAAGGAAGAGTAATAGGAGGTAGAAGGGATTAAAAACAAAGAAGATATGGTAGCAGCTTGTCTAGTTTCCATTCAGCTTTGACTGGTTTTGTTTTGGGTTGCATCCATTTAAGAACTGTATACTTAAAATGTGAGGTCACTACTAGAGCTAGTTACACTCAAACTATATATTTAATTTCAAGTTTATGCTTCAAATTTCTTTGTATGTAATGTGATTGTTGCTTTTATTTTGAGAAATATTATGGATACCCTTCACATCCATTGGTAGCAAAGTGTCATCCAAGTTGAATATGCCGTGTGAAATTCTTCCAAAACATAAAAAAAAATACAATAAAAGGGTCAACACTACAAAGGAAAATCCTAACATACGTTGCAAAAGAAATTAGAAATGGTATTCTATTGTTATATATTCGATTGAAAATGAATTGCTATTACTGGTATACTTTTCAATTAATTAATACGAGCTAAATTGTTATTTGTGTTTGATAAAACATATTTTAGGTGGAAGGAGAAGGAGGTTTTTTTTTAGCCTTCAGGAAACAAGGTACAAGCTTGAAAGACATTTTGGAGAAATTTGTTGATGTAAAGAAATTTTATGAGGATAATCGAATTACACCTTTCTACCAAAAGATTTTGACGTGAGTACTAGTACTTAAAATTTAGTATTTCATGATACAAATAATTATAATTCTTTTAATGCTTATTAATAAATATTTTTACCAATGCAGTGACTTACTTCTAGTGGTAAGGCATTTGATGGATACCATAGTTAAGTGCACACTTGATCTGTCAGACATTTATATTTTGAATGGTGGACATGTTATGATGACAAATTTTAAATTGAGAGGTATGGCAAAATGTAGAATTTATTACTTACCAAAAAAATTGTATAATTTATTCTTATTATACAATTATTAGTATATACGAGTTTCTCTATCTAAATAACATGGTTTAATTGCAGGTTGTCCTAGTGCAATTTCTGAATGGAAAGAATTAGCCGTGGTTGTGAAGGCTATAAATGAAAATATCAATTATGAAGCAAACATGGAAATGAATATTTTTATAAAGTATCTTGAAAGTGAAAATGCAAAGTAAGTGCCTTATTAGATTTTTATTTTATTTATTATTTATTTTTATCTTTCAATTTTAAAGGTTGATTCTTATTAGCAAAGTTATTTGGGGAGCAAAATGAATCATTTGGATGATAGTGTACGTTCTCTTATATTGTAAACTAATAAATTTGGCTTTTGTAGCAATGGTATTATACATGTTTTTTAAACTTGATTTAGGCCCAATTACAATAAATAAAAGTTCAAATTTTTACTGATCGTTACACCTTTGGCTATGAATCTTTTGTGTAGAAAATTCTGAACTTGATCTCATAATCTCGGCATGTTTTCCCTCTTTGTATCTTTGACTCCCTATTTAGATTTTCTCTTCTTGGATTTCGGTAGTTTCTCTATGTATGAATTTTCTCTTCTTGTATTTCTGTAGTTTCTCTATGTATGAATATATGCTTTGTGTCTGCTAGGTGTTTGATAAAATGCCATAAACAGAGTATTTGTGTCTCTTTGTCTCTGTGTCTATCACTGTCTCTACTCGGCTTTTGTGTATTTTGTTGTAAATATTTATTTTCTTTATGTTTTATTTTTATCTTGATTGAGTTGTTGAAGCCATAAGCAAACATATATAGAAGCTGTAAAGAACTTCATTGGGTCTCCGTCAAAATTCATAGCTGTGAAAGTGAAACATTGAATGCTATTGTACTGAAGTCTTTTTAAATATAAACTTGTGTTTCATATTTCATGCTAAAGTTATTTGGAATTGGATGATCTTTTCAATAAATATATAATATATAATATTTGTGGCGATAAATCCGAAACGGTACCTGAAATTTACCAATACCGATACATACCGTACAAATGGAAAAACCGGTACATTGTCTAGTATGAGATTGACAAGTTTGAACGATATTGGGAATGTTAATAATAATAAAATAAGTGACAGTGGGAAGGCAAGCCACTGTCCACCTAATCCACTTGGGATCAAAACCCAACTTGGCTAAACAAGGCTTTTCTACTCTATCATAAGTTTTTGTTAAATCAAGTTTGAAAGCAATGAACTGTACATCTTATTCTAAAGATAATGCTCTATTTCTAGGGCACTGAGAATTTTATAAAATATTTGTTGCCCCTTCTTGAATGCTCATCGGAACTTAGTAATGACGACATGCATTACATTGCTCAACGTGTTGGACATAACCTTCACCACAATCTTGTAAACAACATTACATAGAGAGATTGGTTATAATGGGTGAACTTTGTTGCAATCTTGTAAACAACACTACATAGAAAGATGGACTATAATGGGTGACTAGAGAGGAGGGATTTTGATCTTTAAACTAGTGCAATGTGTTTATAATTCATTGTTTGTAACAAATGACCTGAGTGGAAAAAGCAATGGATTGGACATGAAAAATTAGCATCCACCACATCCCAAAAATGTTGGAAAAAGGCCGAATTCGTGCCATCAAGTTTGATACATATCAAATAGAGCGATTGGTTGCTCCACTTGTTCACTAACATACTTCTTCACTTGACTATGTAATTTGTCTCTATAAGTTACCTACTCGTAGCTATATGTGTTTTTGTCTTTGTGCATATATATTTCCCTTTTTTTTTAAAAAAAAAAGAAGAAAGTCTTCATCCATCATTAACATTACAAATTAAAAAAAATGTGTAATTTTAATTTTTTATTATTTGTTTATCAAACGATTTTTTTCAGACCATTGTCTAATTTGTTGCCGAAAAAATAAGTGACTTGAAAAATCAAATATAAGTGTTGAAATATTTTTTGAGTTTAAATTTTAAATTTGGTTGGGGTTCTTTTCTCATGGAGAGATGCAGTTGTGTTATAAAATTTTTGGTAACGGATTGATAGATGATTAATTAAAATATTTGAGTAGTTTTGGTAGGTATTTACAACAATTATTTTCATAGTGAGTTATGTTCTTATTTTTGCCATTTTTCTTGTAGGTGTTTTACTGACTTATCCAAACTGCCTCTCTTTTGGACACCAGAAGAGAGAAGATTATTTCCTCGTGCGTTTTGGAACTTCATAAAAGGAAAATCTTCTCTATCTAGTGTGATGAGTATCTCACCTTTTGGAGAAAGTGTCAATGTGATTGAAAACAATCCTATATTGAGGCAACTAAAGCAGCATGTGGACAATTATGAAAGTCAATTCGGAAAGGATCCATATGTGTCTTCTGTTTGCGATACTCGTGAAACTGAAGTAAGGAACAACTTGGCCTTAATCAGCCAGTGCTTGTCCCACTTTCATGAACTGAAAATTACAAGCTTGGTAATAAATTTTTTTTTTCCCTTTTTCGTGTAATGTACTTTGGATATGATGTACTAAAATATTTGTTTTTTGAAATTATGTTATTTGATAGGGTCTCAAAAATGAAGATGAGGTAGCAAAATGTTTTGAAAAAGCATTCAAGGGCTACATCGGACAACTATATAAGTGGGCGTTGATTTTTGAAGCTAGTTCACAAGTAAAATTACTTCCGCAAAAGACAATTTTGAGTAAGCTATACAAGGAACCATGAATGACGTTTTTGTGGTAAGTGGGCTTTTGATTCACAACCAAGAATTTACATTTTTGCAAGACAAGTGTTATGTATTGTGGAGGTCTTGATGAATCTTATCATCTTGTTTGTTTTGGCTAAATTGACTATCTTTTGTTTATTCTTTAGGCTTCTAGGAGCTTAGGATGATAGCTAGGAGCCATGACACATGAAGCTCAAAATTTGATGAATTCATAAGTTTCCAAAAGTAAATGTCAACTTGTGTACATGAAAACTTTTTATTAGTTTTCTTCAATTGGTTGAAATTTTAAGCTAATCTTCTGTTTAAACTTAGCTTATTACGCAATACAATCCTTTCATTTGTCCTAGAACATATGCTGTGCTACATATATACAATGGGGATAAATGCTCTGACATATACGCTAAAATGGGATTGTTTGGAGGGAAACCAGTGGGAGTAGGTGCAGAAGTGAGTCTCAATGGCACCATTGAAGGTGTCCAGGGCTCATTAGGATGTTGTTGGATTGCTAACTGAAGTTTGTACCCATTTTGTCACTTGGAGACCTGTTTTTTGTGGCAACAATCTCTAAAGGCGGCCTGTGATTTAATGGTCCTGTTGCTACTATCTTTTAATGTTTTGTACGACAATGGTTTCTTGAGAATATGACCTGAATATCTCCTATTGTGAATTGAAATTATGAACCAAAATTTAGCATTATTTGTTTGTAATGTTACTCTGCAGATTTCCTCTTGTAGAATTAAGATATAATTTAAGTTGCCAGCAGATATAAACTGTGGTAATTGCTCTGCAGGTGCTTTGTGAATTTAATCATGTCAATCCACAAGATGATGAGGATGTAAAAGAGTTTTTGAATGTGTTTATTGACACATGGAAATGATCTTTTCTTTCCTTCTATTTCTTTTATTTTTTATTTTTTTTATTGTGATTCTTTTATGCTATGTTTGATTGGGGATTTGGAAAGAGATTTGAAATAGGAAAAAAAAAAGTGTGTGAAACTACGTAAAATGAATTATAGTCTATCAAACATACCTTATATGCTTCATTGGACTTTTTGCATTCTCCCATTTTAAGATAGCATGCGGCCACGTTGAGATGTAATAGTTTTTTCAAGCATCCAAAAGCAAAAAGGTCAATATATAAGACAAAAGAATGCTATATGACATAGAGGTTGTTATGGTGGTGATAATGTGTGAGTAAATAATAACTCACCTTAATACCCTAACGATGTGTTTAGTTGGGAGATTTGAAAAGAAATTTGAAAAAGAAAAAATTAGGTGAAATGTAGCGTATGCATAGTTATTGTTATTCACTTCTGCATTAGGGGATACATCTCAACTGTGACAAACCTAGTTAACTAGCTGACTCGTTTGATTGCTGAACTTCGTTGGTTCATTGCTGCGAGTCAATTAGATATTTAAATTGGTCAGCAGTCTTTAGTTAGGTTATTGAAATAAATGATTGTTTTCTGCTGTCTTTTTTTTTGGTTTTTGTTTTGTCTTTCATTTCTCTCTCTCTCACACACACACACACACAAACACACTATTATACAAATACAACTCTGAAAAATTGACAATTCAGTTTACATCATTCCTGTGGAGTTCAACACATGGTATTTGTAATAAGAAGTGATATTACATCATCCATGAGTTGAATGACCTCAGAATTAATTTGCTCAAGTTTGTGACAGAGACTGCCTGAAATTTGGTGATCACATTCATATGAAAGCCTCTGGATATAACACACAGTTCAAGCTTCCACGGCGTAGTAAAGCTCAGTTAGGCTAATCGCTTTGATGGTCTAAATGAATAGTTGTAGGGGGTGAATACCATATGTGGAATCTGAAATGGGAGGTGAAAAGCTCTTCGGATACGCTACCCAGAAGATTTAAGCAACAAGAGAAAATTACTCCTAATAAATGGATTTTGAATTTTGATCATCTGATATTGAAATTTTAAATGATAATAATAATAAGCTTCTCCATAATTACTAACTTGAGTCTTGGCACTGATCCAGGAGTCTCCCCATATATACATCTCCTGGTTGTTGGCTTTGGGTAAGCTCTGATCTGCATCCAACATAAAGGTTAAATTTCTCATTACAAGACAATTTATCAATAATAATAATAATAATAATTTACTCATCACCAGAATTTCATACAACAAAACAAAAACTAGTTAGCAGTAGTTTCAGTTGAATGCGTAGAGGCATCTTAGACTAAAAATCAGTCTAGCCAAGAGGTTAGGGGTTAGGTTGGAAAAATCAGTCTAGCCAGCCGTTGTCTAACGAGAAATGAAAACAATATCTTTAATGCAAAGCTTGATTGATGCAAACTAGAAAAAATAAAAATAAAAATCACAATGTTAGCCAACCAATATGCATATAGAACTAATAAAATTAGGGAGGGGGATCCTTTCGGTTCAAATTTTAACTTGAATGGTGTTGTTTGGGCCCGTGGGGTTTACCATGGGTCCTGTCTCGATGATTCAAATTATTCATTTTATCGGATATTTTGTGTATTTTATTTATAAAAAAAATTAAGTCAATCAAACAATTGTAAACTATTTAATTTATCACATTTTTAAATAAAAAAATGTTTAATCTAAAATATGGACGGGAGGGATGCCCTCCTAAAACTAGTATATGATTTAGCCACCAATCTATCTATCTATCTATATATTATACAAGCAAAAAGGGTAATCTAATGAGGAAGCTTTTAAGGCCTCCAAATCCGCTTTTTAAAATTGTTAACTTTTTTTATTTTAAAATTATTTTTGGAAAAACATTATTGGCCATTAATTATTTAAAATTAATTATTATACCATAATTTGAAAATTTTGAAAAGAAATAAACTTTCTACTTTATACTCTTTCTTACATAACTTTCTTCCATTCCATATTTTGTAATTTTCAAACACTTTTGATTTATTTGTTTTGATTTTCTATTTAATTTTTTTTTTTTTTTTGTTATTTTGTTGTAGAGGTTGTGTGAATTGCAATATGAGTTATGATTTGTGCTCAAATCGGCTTCTTAGGTTGTTATCCAATACCTTTGGCGTGAAATTTTTTTTCTTTAACAATTTTTCTTAAATTTACTTTGTTTTTTTCTTTTTTAATCTGGTTTTCATATTTGTTTTTTTAAGGGTCATTGTAGAAACTCGTAATTTAAATTTCGGTAATTACTATTTTTGTAGAAACTTATATTATATGAATGGTTTGCTAAGGCAGTTTTAGTATTTTTTTAGTTTTTTTATTTTTATTTTTAGAATGAAGTTTTTGGGAAAAGAAATTGGTAAGTCTGACAAATTTTTTAAACAGTTACTTTTTTGTTGTTGAGAAAAATTCAAGTAAGCTTAATTTTATTTTTTTTTTTGTCTTTTTTTTTTCTTTCAATTTTTTAGATTCTTCTTGAATAAGAGGACCTCAAAAATAGGGGAAAAAAATTAATATGGATTTATTTATTTTAATTGAAGGAAAGAAAAATTAATAAAAGGTAACTTTTAAACAATTGCTCTCATATTTCCTATTTTTGTTATAAAATATATATTTTAAATCAAAAATAAATAAATAAGTGGATCAAGTAACTCATGAATTGGACAAAAAATCAAAACAAATCTCTAAAGACTAGGCTTGAGCTAAGAATTATTGGTATAAAAATCGATTCAAACTTGGTTTTTAGGTTAATTTTAGTGTTTCATCTAATAATGGAACCCCCTAAACTAGCTCATTGCCGTCACAATGTGAGAAACTATGACATAATTTAGACATAAAGTTTAAATTATTATTAAATGTTTATATTGATGAACCAATGAATTTTTTAGATTAGGTGTAAAGCTAAGGCTAAAATATGGCTCAAAATTTTGGCCGATTGGATTTAGATAGTTTTTTTAATATATAAATATGCCTAACTATTCATTTAATATTTTTAAACATAAATATGTAACTTTTTTTTTTTACTCAAATTTACTTTTTCTTAATAAATATGCATAAACATATGCATATTTTTTATTTTAATTATGAAAATACTTACTATTTATCAATTTAATAAATAAGTAGGTCAAATAATTCATAAGTTAAGTATAAACTAAGATAATTTTTTAACGATTAGTTCACGGTCAAGCTGGCTTAAAAGTTGAATTGTTTAAGCATTTTTTAATATCTATATCCCCATTCTAACTCTTAAAGCCAAATCAACAAAATAAATTTAGGGTCAATAAAATATTGAATTGTCCCAGTTTCTTAGAAAATTGCCGAATATGGTTAGCTGATATTGGAAGGATTGTTTCGGAGGTTATGTCTAATGAGATCAAGTCTTATTTGAGGAGTGACTTGAAGATAAGGGTCATTTAGAGATATTTCCTTTTTAATCATTTTTTATATATTTTTTATTCAAATTTTTTTAATATATAAACTAATTTTAATTGATTAAATTTTGCAAAATATATATACTTAGTGAATTTTACAAAATGAATAATGAGGTAATTGGTTAATTGACAAAACAAAATTACAAAATTTATCAAGAAGAAATGTATGTATATTTTATCATAAACATAATTTTATCAAAATAATTTTTAATTCAATACGGATAATAGGCAAGTTTAGCACGGATAATAGATTAGTATGCATATATGTCCACAATGGGAAAAATTATGTAGTGGTCCTAGGGCATTGTCACATGGTGCCCCAACTTAATATGATTTGTTGAAATTATGAGATCCAGTACTTTTTGTTAGGTTAATAGGAGACAACTTAACAAATGTCAAGTGTCTATTAGTGTGAAGCAATGCTCCTAAACCACCCAATAATAACTTCCACAATGGTTCATCATATCCTAAGCATTAAAAGGGTCTACCCTAGAATGCGTGCTTTGTAGCCTACAGACAGTTTAGTTGTGCATATAGGCCTATTTTGGTAATTGAATTACAAGTAAAAAGATTAATTTTTAAATTTTTTTGAGTCATATTATCTTTATATTTTTTATATATTTTTTTTAAAAAATAAAAATAAATAAAACAATTGACTTTTAATTTACTTCTCAAAACACCCCATAAACGTGTCAATAGGCCCTCATCGAAAAATTATTAAGTATTGTATTTATATTCTTTTATCAATAATCAATTGTCATATTCTTTTATATACCTTTATTATCTAACACAAAATCATAATATTTCACATCCTCTATTAATTTTAATAACATAGAGTACCACATTATCACCCTCTTGAATACTTAATAATCGATCACCTCCATCTCTCCCGATTAGCAAAATCGTGGCCCATTTTATTTTTGAAATACCAAATCAATTGTCACATT